TAGGAAAATAGGGAATGAGATGTGAATAAAATGTATCCATTAGGGAGTCTAAACGCTGTGGGAATGGTGTGTTCTGTGTGTCGTGAGCTGCCTGTCTGCATCTCATCACAGTGATATTTAGTGCAGATGAGAACACTCACAACCTGGCACAACGCCCCCTTAGACATAATGCCAAAAATGGTCTGAGGAAACCTCAAAGATGCCGCTTCCATTTAATGCTTTCATTCTATGAAAATACAAATGACAATTAGCCTTATGCTAATGCCAGTGTTTTACATCACACATTTGAAATATAATATTGTGATTGGCAATCATGACGTTTACAACATCAAGATGTAGGTTATGCCAAGAAATACACATTCATAAAATGCACACTTTTAAGTTGCTGTGGATAAAAGTGCCTGCCAAATGAATACATATTAATCTATTAATTCACTGTATTGATCCGAATACAGTGGCGGTCTGAGAGGGAATTTTCAAGGCAGGCTGGAGTGTAAATTAATATTGATCAAACCTGCTCTCCGTTCATCGTTGAAATGAAAGGATAGTATGTTTTCCATCATATCCCTTAGCTGATAATTATGAATCCATACACGGATGATCTCTCTCTGAAAGCTCAAAATAGCCTTGATTATTAATGACATGTTATAATCTTTCTGATTACCAACCCAACACTAATAAACATAGGAAAAATCATGCAGGGCCATTTATCACAGATCAGGGCCGTCATTGTGAATGAGATTTTTCCCGGGGATTGGATGGGAGGAGGGGCCACTAAGGGCCTCTATACTATATCATACTCACCTTCATGTGCGGCCGGTTAGTGATAATGAAAATGACTTATATACCTCTTCTACAATGAACTTATTTTCAATTGCTGAATTAAAAGTGTGATCAAATAGTTATTTTTGTTAGTTTTTTACATTATGTGATATTATTTTAAAACTCAATGACCTTGACTTATCAGTGCACTCTGCTTAATGGTTTTCCACCAATGGCTTGCATCTCGGTTATGCCACACTGAGATCATCTTGGGGGTTTAACGGTTTTCAAATATTTATAAAATTTTAAAACAAAATTGCTGTTAAAATCACTGCTATCTTATATAAAAATAATACTGTGACGGGGCTGACGAGACGTGAGACGTGTGGATCCATCTGCAAGCTTTTATTCAAGAGACGTGGTATAACAGGCAGGGTCGAACACTGGCAAACAGGTATATGGAGGCAAAAACACAAGAATAGTCCTAGGGCTAGCATAGGTCACCGATCGGCAGACAGAATCACAGGGGCGAGACGAGAGGGAGAAATCCAGGAAAACAGGCAAAGATCAGAAACCGCAAAAACAGGCAAGGCACAACAAGGAAAACACAGCGACTCGGAAAGGGGTACAGGCTAAACAATACTCAGCAGAGAAAGATGGTTAGAGTGGGTGTTATATAGTGAGTGAGGTGATTAGAAACAGCTGTGTGCAATGAGTGCAATGAGTGCAGTGTGCAAATCGTGCAAAGAATGATGGGATATGTAGTCCGGGGTGCTATGCAACAGTCTGTGTTGTGCAAAAGTCAATGTAATGGAAAGGGTGACCTCTGGTGGTGAATAAACAGAAGTCCATGGACCGAATTCATGACAAATACTAGAAAGCACTGAAGCAACTTGTTTTAAAAATTTTAGAAATATTGGAAAACCAAGGTTATTGAGTTTTAAAGTAATCTCTCATATATAATATGTAGTCCTTTCAATAATAAAAAAAAAACATATTTTATCCAGATGAAATAAACATACAAAAATGTCTTGATACTTACTGTATGATAATTGTAAAAAAAAAATCACCTTAAAAACCATGCATTTAACAAATAGTTTAAGTAATCGTTTTATACAAGCTGCATGATGCTTTTACTTGATGATCTCTACATTTTTAGAGTCATTGATTTTATGTTATTTTAATTTATTTTATTTGAGTGATTGATTGCTTGATTGTAAAAAAAAATATATTTTTTCTTTTCATCATGTTAGACATCCTTATTTGTACCTTTAAATTCTCTTCCACTCTCTTTCTTTCGTTCTTTTTTTTGCCTTTTTCAGATGCATTTTTTGACAGACAGATGACTTCCCATCATTTGCATATACATTCCCATTGGTCAGTTTTTGAATTGGGGGAGTCTGTCAGACTCCATTGTTATTGGTAAGATAAATAAAATACTTATTTATATATTATCATCATATACACATTACAGAGTTTGAATATCATTTAATTGTTTTGCCGTAGGCGTTATTTAAAATAAATTTTGGAGATGGAGATTCCTCCTACCGTGACAAACCACCACTGCTCTTTCCTGTTGGGTACATGCAAAAATTTGCTAGTGCTGGGTTGAGTTCAAGGTCAAAACAATTTAGACTGTGCTCACTGTGTTATTTTGTGCAAACCATGTACTCAGAGCAATATTAGAGGACTCCTAATTCAGTCTATGATTACTGTTAATGGAACATATTTAGTTGCGGAGAGAAAGCCAGCATGCATCACAGTTGCTCTCAGGAGAGCATCTAAAATGGCAGGTCATATTAATTCATCATGGAAGCTAGTGTTCATCTGAAGTAAATTGAATAAAGCAATTTTTATGCAATTGCATTTCCCTAAGTTCAGAAGCTGTAAATGTAATGGCACGGAACATTAGTAATTGCTGTTTTCTGCAAGTCAAAGCAGCTTTGGGGCGGCCTGCTATTGACCTACTAATTGATGTCATGTGTTGCATTGTTTAGCATTTGTTCCAAGCATAACTGCTTATCAGACTCTGAAATCACTAACACAGAGACATCTTGATGATCTTTGTAGGTATGCATTAAAAACTATTTATTATGAACACATTATACACAAATCCAACTGAGTCAATGCATGCCAAAGATTTCACTGAATACATTTCTGCCTTTAATAACAAAGAGTGTGTTTTTAAATATTTTAATTGACAAACATGTCATGTAGGGTGGTTTGAAGGATAGATTATACCATAGATTCAAAGACTGTATGGTAGTGCAACAGTCTCTTTTTCACAGGATTCAGACCAATTACTGCTGGAGAGCACTGTCACAAACGATTAGCTGAGCAACCGACCAGCCGGGGCTTTTTAAGTGACTGGTAGTAGTAATTGTGAAAATTGTCTCCTCTCATGCCCTCTGTGGAACCCTGGACTGAGCTTATATGTAACACCACAATTTTAAATGCAGTGTCAATACTGTTACCATTTTAAAAAATTATAATTTAAACAATTATTTATTACATTTAATATAATCAATGTCTACAAGTAAAATAATTTCAGTGTACAACATGTGCTTTTGTGAACTTGACTATTAGCTAGAAATGAGCAAATTAGTTTGAAATCATCAAACCTGTTACTGTCATCCCTGTTACTTTTCAGGGTAACAGGTTTTGACATTTGGGTAACAGGGATGACAGATTAGGTGTCACCCTGTTTTTAAAGATTGTCTGTGTAAAATGCAAACATTTTTTAAAGGTCACCCTGGGTGTAGTTTTAAGCTAATGCCTACATCATTCAGTGGCATACGAGCGTGAGTTACATTTTAGTTAGTATTATTGGTATTGTTACTATTACTGTTGTTGTTAATGACCAGGATAGGATGATCAGTCTCAATAAAACAATTTTTTTTCCATAACTCATTGTCAATAATGCATCCATGTAAATTCAATTACAAAAAAAGAGCAGCAAGGTGGCTGCAGACATTCACCCGTCTTGCAATGTTCAAGAAAGTCAAGATCTTGTTGGTCTGGTTTTAGATGATCACAGAAAGACCAAGATCTGATCATCTTCGTTGCCTAATAACTGAACCAGATCAGTATATTTGAAGTTCTGTGAGAGGTCACAGACAAAATGATTGAACGCATTATCTATGACGTCAATCCTGTTACTGTCATTAATTTCATAAAAATGGTAAAAATTATATTTGGTACAGCCGTCCAGGGTTTTCCATTGTAACTTTAACCATATTTTATTTTGGACAAAACCCTTTTTAATGTCTCTCTTGTAAAAAATATATATATATTTTTTCTTAATTGACATGTGGTCACCCTCCAGAATTAGGATGTTCTTGGTCATCTGAATGACAAATATAAAAATATTTTGAAAAATCCAAAATTTGAAACAATCCCATTGAAGAGGGACTAAAATGCTGTTCATGTATGTGAACACTATCACATAATTCTAATTAAACTATAGTATCTAGTAACACTTGTGTCGGTAACAGGGTTGACAAAAATTCCAAAACAAGAAAAATAGTCATAAAATAAGAAATTACATAGCCTGAGATGGCACAATACAATTTCTTTAAGGTGTCTTCATTTCATGCATATTTAAAAAAATGTTGATTAAACTTTTTTTTTAAATTTTTTTCCAAGTGGAAAAGGCACCGGTTTCATGTAATGACCCTTATAAACATCACTATGAATCATCACTGAGTGTTTTTAATAACTTCTGACTGTGATCCAATGTGGACTTTGATCAAATGATGAGGCAGATATATGTTGTTAGTAACATTTTAGAAGAATTTTATGGGGAAGATATGCAACTTATGTGAGGTGAGGAAGAAAAGTAATGTAAGTAGTAGTGTAATAATTACTGTTGCCAGAAAGTAATAAGTAACGTAATAATATTACTTTTCAAAGGTAATGAGTAATATGCAAAAACATTTTGAGTAACAATCCCAACACTGGTGCATAAATCACCATGGTATAAATGCCTGCTAACAGTTTAATAGATAGTTCAGCCAAAAATGAAATTTGTCATCCTTTATTCTCCATACCTGTCTCTTTATGAAAGGAGCAACTGATGACGATGACTCCACCGAGCATAATTTTCTAACGATTCAACGAACCGGAGTCAATTATTCCGCTTATACTATGGTTACCACACATCAAGACATTGTTCAGATGTTGTACTTCAAGACATTTATCAGGTTTTTGTCCTTAAAACGCTCTTGTGCATCTCATCCCTTACGAAAATTATGGTTTTTATCTTGTTTTTTTTTACTGCATTTATTTGCTTCGTCAGTGTCGCTCATAGTTGTTTTGTCATGCAGTGAAATGTAAAGTCAGGTCAGCCATATTGAGGGCAGTCTTGAAGTCTGCAGGCATAGAGCAATAAAGGAGGGTGCCATGTACAAAGCTCACATGAATTGGTAACCGCCTCAGGTTTCAGACAAAGACAGCCGAGGCACAAGGGGCCACACAGGAAGAGGGGAAATGTGCGGTCTTATATCAATGCATCTGCTATTCCCAGACTGAAGTATGCATACACGAGGGATGAATGACTGACTACAGCACGGAATTCATACGAAAGTCTTGGGGTTTTTACTTTACTGTGCTAATAAACCATCATTTTGGTGACAACACAGAAAAATTATTACCCAAGGTTTCAGCATCTCTTATTTTGAATACATGCACTTCAAAAATACATAGAAGAAAACCTCTTAAATTGAAAACTCATTTCCCTTTATGTTCGCATCTCAACCTCATTGTTACATATGCACTCAATGCAGGCAGTAACAGAGTACACGGCAAATCACAGCATGGTTTTAAAAGCTTTGCTACATCCACCCTCTGAAAGCAGCTACTGGTAAAGAACATGCCGCAGCTGCTGCTGAATTTAACCTCCCTCCTCATGGGGTCTGTGATGTGCTCTCTGATGGTATTGATTCATACTCTCTGTGAACATCTAAGCAGCCAAAGAGGGTCTCTAGAATGTTCAGCACACTGTTCTGGATAGAATCCACTTGCTCCGCTGGGCAATACTCATCCAAACTGGATCTGACAAGGATAAATTGAAATGTAAGAAACATTTAAATCTTATATTATCTTAATCTTTTTTAAATCGTATACATACATTTATAACATACGTGAAATGACATATACACACACTACTGGTCAAAAGTTTGAGTTCAGTACTTAAAAAACAATCAATAATTTTATTAAGCAAGAACACATTAAATTGATTAAAAGCGACAGCAAAAACACTCATAATACAAAAGATTTCTATTTCAAACAAATCTTGTTCTTTTGAACTTTCTATCCATCAAGGAAACCTGAAAAAATTAAAAACTACCAATGTTTCCACAAAAAAAAAAAAAAGAATAATAAATACTGCATTTATATACAAATAAACAATTTATGTCAAAAACTGTCCAAAAACTAAACTGCTTAAATCTAAAAATTGTATTGTCATTTATAAGGGAAATACCAAACTGAAACAAAAAAATAGTCTTTATTCACACATAATAAACAAAAAATGTACACTACCATTCAAAAGTTTGTGATCAGTAAGACTTAAAAGTTTTTAAAAGAAGTCTTATATGCTCGTCAAGGCTGCATTTATTTGATAAAAAAAATACAGAAAACAGTAATCTTGCAAAATGTTATTACAATATAAAATATTGGTTTCTATTTTAATATCCTTTAAAATATAATTTATTTCTGTGATGCAAAGCTGAATTTCCATCAGCCATTACTCCAGTATAAAGTGTCACATGATCCTTAAGAAATCATTCTAATATGCTGATTTATTATTAGAATTATCAATGTTGGCAACAGTTGTGCTTTTTTTTTAAACTGCGATACTTTCTTCTGGTTTCTTTGATGAATAAAAAGTTAAAAAGAACAGAATTTATTCAAAATATAAACCTTTTCTAACAATATAAATCTTTGCTATCACTTCTTATCAATTTAACACATCCTCGCTGAATAAAAGTTTTAATTTCTTTCAAAAAAATGAGGAAAAAAAGAATAAAAATGTACTGACCCCAAACTTTTGAACGGTAGTGCATATTGTTAGAAAAGAACTCTATTTTAAATAAATGCTCTTCTTTTTAACTTTTTATTGTAATAATGCTGAAAATGCAGCTTTGCATAACAGGAATCAATTAGATTTTAAATGTATATTAAAATAGAAAAACGTTATTTTACATCATAATAATATTTCACAATATTACTTTTTTTTCCTGAATTTTTGATCACATAAATGCAGCCTTGATGAGCATAAGAGACTTCTTTAAAAAACATTACAAGTCTTACTGATCCCACCTTAAGAAATCATTCTAATATGCTGATTTATTATTAGAATTATCAATGTTGGCAACAGTTGTGCTTTTTTTTTAAACTGCGATACTTTCTTCTGGTTTCTTTGATGAATAAAAAGTTAAAAAGAACAGAATTTATTCAAAATATAAACCTTTTCTAACAATATAAATCTTTGCTATCACTTCTTATCAATTTAACACATCCTCGCTGAATAAAAGTTTTAATTTCTTTCAAAAAAATGAGGAAAAAAAGAATAAAAATGTACTGACCCCAAACTTTTGAACGGTAGTGCATATTGTTAGAAAAGAACTCTATTTTAAATAAATGCTCTTCTTTTTAACTTTTTATTCAACAAAGAATCCTAAGAAAAAGTATCACAGGTTCCCAAAAAATATTAAGCAGCAAAACAGTTTCCAGCGCTGATAATAATCAGCATATTAGAATGATTTCTGAAGGATCATGTGACACTGAAGACTGGAGTAATGATGCTGAAAAATCAGCTTTGCGTCACATGAATAAATTAGATTTTAATGTATATTAAAATAGAAAAACTTTATTTTTACATTGTAATAATATTTCCCAATATTTCCTGCATTTTTCATCAAATAAATGCAGCCTTGATGAGCATAAGAAACTCCTTTAATTTACGGTAGTGTAAACATTTTATTTTTATTTTGTATGGCCTCCTTTGGCTTTGATAACAGCCTGCATTCTTGCTGGCATTGTTTTTATGCACTTTTTTTACTTTTATGTCTCTGTTGTAACTGACTTCCAAAATTAGATTTTAATGTATATTAAAATAGAAAAACTCTATTTTTTACATTGTAATAATATTTCCCAATATTACAATTTTTCCTGCATTTTTCATCAAATAAATGCAGCCTTGATGAGCATAAGAAACTCCTTTAATTTACGGTAGTGTAAACATTTTATTTTTATTTTGTATGGCCTCCTTTGGCTTTGATAACAGCCTGCATTCTTGCTGGCATTGTTTTTATGCACTTTTTTTACTTTTATGTCTCTGTTGTAACTGACTTCCAAATAGTTTAGTTGTTCCCAAAGGCTTGTTTTTGATGAAACTTTTGTGCAATCTATCTGTGAATCTATCTCCATAAAATCCCAACAATAATTATATTTTAGCATTAGAGACACTACTGTGACTAAAGAGCTTACACATATGGGTGTGGATTAACCATTACAGAAACATAAAAATTGATTTTGGTAATCACCAATACTGTTAGTTTAGGGCAGCTGCAGCACAAACCTTACATTGGGTGGTGGCCTAATACATTGTTAAGCACTATACACACACACACACACACACACACACACACAATTAAGTGCAGCCTCTGTGAGCTTAAGATACTTTTTTCAACATTAACATATTTTTACTGACCCCAGACTTTTGAAGTAAATATATGCCCCTAGCGATGTTAATAAATACCTATTAATAATAATAATAAAACATTTATACATTTTATTTTTATTTTGTATGGCCTCCTTTGGCTTTGATAACAGCCTGCATTCTTGCTGGCATTGTTTTTATGCACTTTTTTTTACTTTTATGTCTCTGTTGTAACTGACTTCCAAATAGTTTAGTTGTTCCCAAAGGCTTGTTTTTGATGAAACTTTTGTGCAATCTATCTGTGAATCTATCTCCATTAAATCCCAACAATAATTATATTTTAGCATTAGAGACACTACTGTGACTAAAGAGCTTACACATATGGGTGTGGATTAACCATTACAGAAACATAAAAATTGATTTTGGTAATCACCAATACTGTTAGTTTAGGGCAGCTGCAGCACAAACCTTACATTGGGTGGTGGCCTAATACATTGTTAAGCACTATACACACACACACACACACACACACACACACAATTAAGTGCAGCCTCTGTGAGCTTAAGATACTTTTTTCAACATTAACATATTTTTACTGACCCCAGACTTTTGAAGTAAATATATGCCCCTAGCGATGTTAATAAATACCTATTAATAATAATAATAAAACATTTAAAGCATTTTTGATTCTGAACACAGATAAAAAAAACAATGGTGCATGTCAGCCACGGTGATGCACCATCAGTCAGAGAACTTAGTATTAAAAGACTAGAAAAATATTCCCATGGACCATGAAGGGCTGAGCTCCCCCTGACTAGAGATAAGAGAGCGACTGATGAGTGTGATGTTGAGTCTATGCTCATTAAAAAGCATGCTAACAGATCACTGAGACACAAGTCTCACATAACACCATCTGTCTCAACGGCACAGATTCAAGCATCTGCTTTTGGGGCAACAACCAGCCTACAAACAATCATTATGTCATAAATTACAATGCTAATTAATGCAGACCAAAAACAAAACAAGAAATAGGATGCTTCTCTGTGGGAAAAAAAACACCAAATGATTTTAACCTTGGAGAATGTAATAAATCATAAGCGAAAGATTAAAGGACCCAATGTACTTTTCAAAAGGAGACACAGAACAGACGTCCATATGCTCTAATGACTGATGTACCTGGATATAGTGACTATGGTGGGTTTGGGCATGCTTTCCAAGAAGAGCTGCACAGCCGTGATCATTTGCTGGATCTCCTCTTCACTGCTGATGTGGTGAGGGAGCTCAGAGTAATCACAGGTCAAGCCTGCTTGATGCACCTAGACTCAACAACACAGGCACAAATATATCAGTCTGTGGTGCGTACAGACGTGCCTCAGCACTACAAGCCAAGGGAGGCAAATTTGTTATCCTTCATGTTCTGCTTGGAGGCTCTCAATAGCTCGAAAAGTATACTTGACATTAAGTAACAGGTTGATATTTCATTATTTTTCCTCATCAATGCAAAACATTTTTAATTAGTATTTTGTCTTGTTTTGCAGAAAAACAATATCTAAACATATTTGAAACAAGATTTACTTTAAGATGCATGATTTATTTTTAGAGATCATGTCTTGAATTACATTCATTACATCGGCATGTTATTGTCATGTTTTTTACTTAATTCACACACACACACACACACACACACACACACCAAGCAGAAACAACGTGACTAGAATGGATATTCTATTGAAAAGTGAATGGGTAATCTACAATAAAATAGAGGGTTAAAGTTTCAATTATAATGTCATCTGCCAACTGTTTTTTTATTACGTTAGAGGAGTTTATAAGAATATGAAGGTAAAATAAGAAGATACTAAAATTTCTGATATTATTTTTCTACATACATCATTGTAGACTACAAAAACATAAAACTATTTGGAATATCTGGGATGAGACACTTCAAACATGATTAAAATACCCAAAGGATAAACACACACACAACTTTACCATTTCATAGTCCGGTGACTGAGTTCGATTCTTAAGGCTGTGTACAAGTCTGACAAGAGATTTCATTCTACAAAGAAAGAGAGGGGGAAACAAATCAGTGCATGAGGCTGTGTCATCTCCTGCTTGATCAAATGCATACTGACCATATAAAACAATCAATCAAGCCCAATGGTGCGATGATATGGAGCTATAATCAAAAAGCACAGAGCCTGTGGCTCTACAGTCTCATCTCGGTGACAGCAGTAATGCGTACCCTGGGTTTGCTGCTAAACGTTCAACAGTTTCCTGGCCGTCATCCTCTACCAGTTCAGCAAATGCAGCCTCCAGGTCTTCAAGCTGGTGAGTGCGTCTCTCTACACAATCTAAGAGCTGCTCCTGAAAAACCAACACATGGAACGTTAAAGATATTATATGTTATTTGCCACCAGGGAAATGTGCCTTCTGTGTGTCCTGTATTCAACAAAATACACTGAGGTTCAAAAGCCTCAGACCACATTGAATATATATACGATATCATTTAACTCTGGGAATAAACAAGGTTTTTGATTTTACTGAATTTAAAACATACATGAAAAATAAATTTTTAAGATTCTACACTATTTTTATGTGACTAATCAAAAGTAAGTACTTTAGCGTTCAAAGGTTTGGGGGCAATACGTTTTTTTTCTTCCCCTCAAGGAGGACACATTTAATTGATGAAAAATGACTGTAAAGATATTTATAATATTATGAAAAATCTCTATAATAAATAAAGAAATGTTTCTGGATTTCTAAAGAATCATGTGACACTGAAAACTGGAGTAATGATTGCTGAAAATTCAGCTTTGCCATCACCGAATTACTTTAAATTGATCATATATAGATATTTTAAACAGAAAACAGTTTCAAATGGAAAACAGTTGTTTTTAAAATTAAAATAATATTTCATGATATTACTACATAATTTAAACTCAAATCTTTTTTTTTACTGTAATTTTGATCACAAAAATGCAGCCTTGGTCTCTGGGTAATTTAATTTGATCTCTGAATTGAACTTTTCATTCACATTGTCATGCTCATAATAAAATTTACAATTAAAATAGTTTTAAGCAGAAAAATGCAATACATTTTCACTAGCAGTCTCAGACTCCTGCGTCTGTATGTATCAGCATTCAAACGTGAAGATGTCAAAAATGATTTTGAAATCAAGCATGAATGCTAAAACAGTTCTGACTGACTTTGATAAAAGCTGTTGCAACAGCTAATATAATTTTTTTTAGCACACATCAGTTGGATTAAACATTCACTTGGAAAGCTGTTGAACAGAGTTGTTGCCACGGTTTAAAAAAAAGAAAAGAAGCAAGATTAGCTTTAGCTTCACCCCCTGAGGGTGTTTAGTAACATGCCTGTTGCTATGACTGAATGAAGATCTCATGATTAGTTTATGGTACATTTGATTAGGAACCTTTGTTACCTCATCTGAATCCTGCTGTGGCCTGCTAAAGCTGTATAACTCTTGCAGGAGAGCGTACTCTTCCTGTAAGACAACAACGGTGGCAAATAGACAATGTATATCGATACTAATACATATAAAACTATATATGAGCTCTGAAGAAACTAGAAAGAATCAATATCTTCCATTTGTCTACAAAGCTTTTTCTATATCAGTACAATGTAGGTGTGAGAAAGTACAATATGGAGAAGTAATTGCTATCGTTTAGGAAACAAAAAGGACTATAATGATGGATCTGCTTGATTCACTCCACCTGTGTGTACATCTCCTTGAAAGGGTTCTTGCAGGAGAAAAAATCCAAGTCAATGTCAAGTATGAAAGGGTCAGACTGCTCTATAACTGCTGAAAGCCGTTCAGTGATGCAGCTTGTTGACCCCTCATCAGCTTTCGTGACTGTGTGACTGCCGTTTCCTGACGCAGTGCTGCCATCAAGCGGTTGACAAGAGGAAGTGCACGGGGCGTCCCTTTTCAACTGCACATCATTCTCCTCTTTTACAGCTGATTTAGGTAATTTAGCACCACTTTGCCCATTTTCAGGTGTCCTTTTCTGCGTACGGTCAACAGGATCCACTCGAATGACATTTAACTGCAACTCTTTTGGGTTTTCCAGCTGATCCAGAGGAACGTAAAGAGCGTCACTCAAAAAGTAATCGTCTGTGCTTGTGACCCTGAAAAGAGAAAGAGATTTCTTCTGAATGTTTTTAAACACGATTTTAACAGCACAATGTTTCCTGACAGGGTGGAGGTCTCATCCTTATTAATAGTAAATGAACGCCTGCTGCCATCTCATGGTTACATGCTGATATGCTGCACCTGACCTGATGGTGGTCGTGGATGAATCTTTCCCCACACACATAGAATGCTCTCCTTCTTTGATCTGCTGAGCCCAGTACGGATGCAGCCAGGCTACGTGGGATACGTGTCCAGCATAGACCATTGGCATAATCCAATTCTCAATGCTCAGCTCACTGCAAGCGCAAACAAAAACATGTCAACCCTTATACTCACTGTTGCAACTAATGGTGTGAACAAATATCAGTGGGCTTTATTCTCAACAGCATGAGCTGTCTTTTAATAGTCTGATTTTAATCGCCAGAGGAGTATTCATGAATTGTATTATTTGTACAGGCATTCGTGGGTGTTTCTTTGACATGAGCCATGTAGACTTGAACAGTTCGGTAAAACATTCTGTAATGTACTAATTTCTGTCAACTTAAAAGAAAAATCAATATCTAAATAAATATTCATTATTTAAAAAAATAAAATGTAAAAAAAACAACATTAACCAAAATAAAATATGCAAAATCCTTTTGTTTATGCTAGTTGCAGAAGCAACATTTCTAATTTAGCTTAACATGATGTAATAAAAATGAACTCTAAAGACATAAAAAATAAAAATGACAAACCCAAAACTTTAACTAAAATGGAAAATATATAAAAATAAAAACGAATTCTAAATATTAATAAAATCTATTAAACGGATGACTTCTCCGGCTAATTGCATAGCTAGGATATTATGCATCGTAGTGGAAACCGTTAAATAAATTAAACTTGATTTGAAATTATGCAAACAAAAATACTAAAAAGAATTTAACATATTAATTTGATGAAATAATAAATAACATAACACACATCATTTTTCACTCAAAATTAATACAAGTTGAATTATTTAACTTATTATTTAGATTGACACAGTTTTACAATAACACAATAATAATTGGTTTTCATATTTGTGGGACTCTGGGTCTGGAACAAGGGTAAAAGTGATCTTAGTAAAAGGTTTCCAAGTCCGAAAAGAAATTTGAAATCTATGATGGTTCACAAAGTTGACGAAAAGCCCTTATAAACTCACCTGAGCAGAGTCTCTTTGTCATACACGGTATCAGCAGGCATATTCACAGGGATGAGGAGATCAGGATGGGAGTCCAAATGGACCATTTTAATGCCCTTCATTGGAATATGTTTCGAGCCAATGGCACGATATATGTGCTTCACAACCTAAAGCAGGTGGAAATGACATTTAAGTAACTGTTTATTTCTTTTACACATGTAGGTGGCGATCTATCACTCAAAACCAATGTCTACTTTGCTTTTATTGGAACTATTGTAAATTCAACTATTTAGCTGGCGTTAGATTTAATAAAGCCTTACATCAGCAAGAACTGAAATCCCATTTTATCTACCTCATGATGGTCCTCCACTATCCACACAGGCAGTTTAGGATACACGCGTTTCTGAGGGGGCGTCTTCATTTTTTAACAAGAGTGGCTATATATATATATTTTTGTCTTGATTTAAAACTACAACAGCATTTGAAAGACTTATTACGTTTATGATATACCGCTATAAGTGGTGCACTGTGCGTCTTCGTTTTTAAACCGGGTGGAAACAAGAAAGACTTGAACAAGACTTGGATTCCTACAATAGGTAATGTAGGCTAAATGTATTTTTTCATATACCGTTTTCTGATTTTAACGATGTAATTGTTTTGCGATAAAATTGCAAACATCTGAGAAGAAAGAAAAAAAGTATTAACGGGTAAGGAATAGCAATAATTAATCCTCATATTGCAGTAAATCCGAAATATCAGCTAGTGGCAACTATTATTTATGTCATTCTTGAGACATGGGACAAAACAGGTCCAGCAAGGGTAACTGCTATTAGGTTTAAAAATAAAAATATTTAAAATGCTAAATGTCATGAGGGATTAATAATAGAATGTATTTAGCACAATTATCACCTTCAATTAAATTTTCTCATTATTATACCTAATCTGTGTTTCTTAATGTCCTCTCACTACGTCTAAAACAGTGTGTCCACACATGTAGTTTCATTTGTCTGAGTACAAGGTGTTATTTTTTCTATTTTGCACCCTGTTTTGTCCCACTTCTCAAGAATGATTTACTTCATTTCATTTGTTTAATGACAATATAAACAACAAATGTATTTTCCCCCTAAATATTGGGATGTTGTGTAATTGTGTATTATACCCTGTAATGGCAGAATGCAGAGTCCTTCACATCTTTTAAAGATTAAAAAGACAAATTAGACATTAATCAAAGCATTACTGCAAATAAATAAATAAATTCATTATGTTAAAAAAATCTTTAGGAGTACAAGAGTCACTGGGGCAGTACCCTTAAAAGCTACTAATGTACCCTAGGCTACTGCCCCAGAAACAGGCTGTTGTACTTTTTTCTGACAGAATTTAGTCATCATCAGTGTTGGGGAAAGTTACTTTTAAAAGTAATGCATTACAATACTGCGTTACTCCATAAAAAAGTAACTAATTACGTTACTTGGTTACTTTTTATGGAAAGTAATGCATTACGTTACTTTTGCATTACTTTTTAAATCTGGACAGGGCTTGCTTGTTTGTTTTTAAAATAAAAAAGTTATATTTTTGGCAAATATAAAAGCCTTTTCACACCAAAAGGGAAATTAATAAGCCTCAGGCTGAAGGAAATGTAAATTTATGTCCGTACAGTAGAATGCAGAAGAAGAAATTTCAACACACTTCAGCAATAAAAAAAACACACAAATGTTTGTCCAGAGTCATTTTTGCTTATTAGTACGGTTGAACTGGATCATCGAAGGTCAGAAGCAAAGCAGTTGGTTAATAGAATGGGATTAAATACATAAAGGATATTTGTGTTGTTTAACATTTAATTATTGCAGGTTTGCGTCATATTCTGAGTTGCATTTTTTGTTCATTTTGAGGAATACTGAATCTGTGTGTTTTTTTTTCTTGTGAGTGAGATGAATTAATGCATATTCATATTTATTTTAGAACTGTAACATCTTCTGATTTCTCTCAACATGGGGACAGGAGAGCTGTCAATCAATAAAATGGAAAAAAAAGTAACTTGCGTTACTTATTTGAAAAAGTAACTCAGATATTCTCTTATAAATTAAAAAGTAATGCGTTACTTTACTAGTTACTTGAAAAAAGTAATCTGATTACGTAACTCGCGTTACTTGTAATACATTACCCCAACACTGGTCATCATTGTTAAAGTGAAAATAATTTATGAGTAATTTGTAGTTAGGCTCAGTATTGTAGTGTACAAATGAAGGCAGTACCGATCCTAGACTTCTGGAGTGGGGTATGAGTGGTTATGAACGAATGAATGAAACGCATTTGTCCGTGTTTCACTCCGTCGAATCGCGCTTGCTGAAAGTGCTTGAGAAACAGTGTCTCTTCTGCGGCTCGGTACACTTTCAACTGTTTTTTTTTTGTCTCCAGTAAGACTACGACATTCACATTATTTTACTGATTTTTACATAGAACGGGCACCGCATTAAAATAAATGTTTTCATAACCGCTGGCCAAATACTAAAATTAAATTATCTTTGAGAGCAAGGGGGCCCCCTGGTGTTTCGGGGGCCCCACGCAACTTGCGTATTTTGTGTATAGGGAGGATCGGCTCGGAATGAAGGAGATTCAACACTGCTATTACTATGTGCTTGTCCGACTAAAAATATAGCAAGAAAAAAAGTATAGATAGGTCTACAGGTCTGAGGTCACAAAACTCTTCAGGAGGTCTTCAGAAGGTTACAAAAACTCCAGTGAAGCAGCTGTAAGGATCTCCAGACAACTCTTACATGGGCCCCTGTCAGTTACATATCAATATTGCATTAGCAAATTTTACTCCACACTAGCGAACTGCCTGTCCGTGAGCTGAAGTTTAACAGTTATAATCTGAAATGTATAGTGCCTTCAGGAAGTATTCACTTCACTCCCTTGAATTTTCACACATTGTTCTGGTTATATCTCTAAATTTTGAACCCCTCAAGTATTTGTCTTACTTCAGTAACACAATCATGCAACATTAGGCTGTAAGTCCAACACACTCACGGTCATACTGTATATAAACTTGAGCATGTCAGTCAAGGCAGTCTAATCAAGTTTTTGCAAATGTCATTGTACGATTTGTCTTTTTGTGCAGTTAAAGTCATTGCAGCCACAGTCAGCAAATGTAGGAAATAAAGAATAACGAAGTATATAATATATATGAATGTGTGGGTAATACTGAACGTAACAAAGGGTCAAGCAAAATAATAATATTAATAATAATAATAAACGTTTTATAATAAGTAAAAGGTTTAGCTTATTTAGCAATAAAATCCCATTTGTGATGCAACAATACCAGACCTGTCCTTCTCTTCCATGTTTTTTATGGTTTACCTTGAGTAGAACACACATCTTCTAAGAAGATATTTTAGGATGTGCATTCACTTTTAAAGGAACTCAATTTTTAAATATATATATATCTGCATTTAATAACATCTGACCTTAATTATGACTACTGTGAGACTTCATAATCATAGTTTGCAGGAAAGCAGTCAATAATGTTGAGGGTAAGGATTCAATTAGGCCATTACCCAACCAGGAAGGGTCTTGAGAGACACGACAGAAAATGAAAGGGAGGAAGATAGGAAAACAACACTTCATATGCACACTTACATAATTTCAATGGACTATTAATTCTCAAGGCTTAGCAGACTCCAGGCATGACTTATGGTGGCCTATGGCCAGTGCTGTCACTTCTGTGTTAATTGCCCTTCTTTTCCAGTTGCTTATTTTCCACAGGCAATTTCTTGCCTGACAGCAGGACTGCAGTTATCTCTCTCTCTTTTTTTTTTAGATAGACAGCGATATTTATTATGCAATCAAGCAATTAAACATCAGCATGTTCAGAATGAACACATATATATCTTGTTGCATAAACACATATCAGTGCAATCCAAAAGCAATTTTCTGATTTTCTACACAGTTTATTTGAGTACAATATAAAATTACTTTTACAGGAGTGAAAGAAATCCAATTTACAAATGCTTCAGTGGCAACAAAACAAGAAGCAATCAGTGTGGTGTGAATTACATCTTAAGGCAGTAAGTAAATCTCAGACTCAATGACTATGTCAAGCAGTTTTGTCTCCACCCAGCTGATATTCCTGATTTTAGGGAAGCAGTCAGATAATGTAAAACACTGTGCAGGGAATGAGTTTTGTTATGGGAAATTGACCAACATCTCTGATTAGCAAATGCTTGCAAAGAAACTTGCAATTGTTTGCTTAAAATCAATATCAAAATCAATGTACGTGGAGATTATTTCCTTGTGAAAAAGAAGTGCACTTAACTGTATTGAACGTGCACTTGTAGTGAACTTCAAAACTTAAAAAGTATATTTTTAAAAAACTGTACTTGCAGATAATATCATGAAATAAAGGGCCATTTAAGTGTACTTAAGAGAGTAGATTTTTAAACACACTAAAGTAAACTTTTAAAAAGTGCAGTCTGTAACAATGTCAAATTAAAAGAAATACATTTCACATGTAGTAATCTTTTGTAATGCATTAATTTATACTTATTGTGATGCATTGCCTAACATACTAAAGCATGTTTAAAGTGCAGTACTTGACTATAATTTGTGACCTTGGACCAAAAAAAAAAAAAAGGGTCATATAAAAATAAAAAAAAGTTGTTAGGGTCAATTTTTGGAAATTGAACGAATAAATAAGCTTTCCATTGATGTATGGTTTGTTAGGGCAATATTTGGCTGAGATACAACCAGGGATTGAAATTAACTTTTTCACTCACCAGCCAATTTGGCTACTACATTTTTAAGTTACCGGCCATTCATAACTTCTACTAGCCAAAAAAAACCCTAAAAAAAGACAGAAATAAACCAACAGTTTGAGTCTGTCTACACTGCGCATGACAAAGCGACCGTTGCAAATCATATTGTGTCAGTACTAGGGTTGTTCCCTATTGACAAAAAATAATATCGCAATATTTTCTATGATTTTAGCGATAAAGATAATTAGACGATATTTTGCTGAGTGTGTTATTGAACGTGCACTTGTAGTTCGAGTATCGTACCGGCAGGAATTGTAGGTGGGGGGGGGGAATGTACAGCGCTCTC